CAATGACTACTTATTTTTGTCCAGCTTTAACATCGGTATCGATATCGGTTATCGGCTACATGAGTTTTAAAATATCGACATATCGGATATCGGCCAAAATACCAATATCTTGCATCCCTAGTTGACATGCATTAAGTGTAAGTTACTCATAAGTCGTGGCGTCTAGCTTATCCAAATTCTCTGAGTAACTTCTGCATAATTTATCAAGAACTTCTCTCCAACTCGTATCAACGTATCTGACGTGTTCCAGACGAGCGCTGAACGTGTTTCTAACTTCCAGCTACTGTATAATGGCGTATCTGCTGTAGCTGCCACTGCAAACCTTTCTTTTTCGTTTGTTTATTCTTTTTTGGGGCGCCCAATCTGCATCTTTTGATGCAGATTGGGCGCCGCCGAGCTCATCGCTGCCCCCCTGTGGACACTGAGTTGTGACATTTGATGGGCATTATGCTGCCGGGCGTTATGCATAAGTTAGGCTGTCGTTGGACAGAAGTTCTGGACTCGTTAAGAATACTCGCCAAGTCTCGAGAAAAATACATAGAAATAGAAATCAGATTCTGTGACGTCAGGCATACGCTGGCTGAATCAGCAAGGTGTGACAGGAGCCTCTCTGAAATGTTTGGATGGGCTGTTACAACCCTGCCTAGCTAAGGGGAAAGTGGAAGTAACATTTAAATACCAGATGTAATTCTGTTGAAAATTTCAATGTTTTATTATTCAGTTTACTGCAGAGAGCTGAACTTATGAGAGCCGAGGCTTCGAGGTGTGTGTCGAGTAATGGAGGGGGCAAAACGCGTGTCGATGCCATGACACCACGTGACCGCTTCAGGAAGTGGTTCAGACTGCGCCAGAACTTCGACAGGCATTTAAACAGCCTCTGTGTTCAGTCAAGATGTGGGAGTTTGGAGGAGAGCTGCTGTCAGTTGGACAGATTCTAAGAATAGATTGGTTGGAAAAACAACTACTGGAATAAACAGTTACCATTGCTGGCGGCATCTACTGTAAGGAATTGACTTTCACTCCTGAGGTTATTTTGAGACTCAACTTAGACCTTTGAAAGTTGAGATAAACCTTAACTGAAGTGTTTTGGCTAATGTGACTAAAGGCCCATTCATACCTCACGTAAAAGACGGATACGGATACGTGTGGAGTGTTTCATACATTCTAACCGTCGATTTCGTCCGTACTTTGACACGAAAATTGGGAGCTTACGCTTACGGACGAAACGGATCAATACGGAGCAATACTACCGGAAACAGTGGGGGCGCTATTGAGTTTTTAGTACAAAATGTCAACAAAATCACAAAGAAGG